TCGTGATGTTCAGCATTTTTCCATGTGCCTATTAACTCATACTGGAAGTACTCTTTCTAGTCTGGTTCTTTAAGTTGAAAAACTTTCAAGTTCTTACAATCATCAATAACATGTTCCATTTTCTTCTTGAATAGTACTCTCTCGGATTTATGCACCATTTGTATATTGGTTTACCATTTGAATCACATTTGAGTTCTTGCCAGTTTGGGGCTATTATTAATAGAGCCACAGTAAACATTGGCATGAAGCGTTTTATGTGAAGAGAAATTCATGTTTTACGCGGGAGTTATTTTCGGAATGGGATTACTCATTTTTCCAGTGTGCAGATATTTATGAGCAATGAAAAACATTTCCCAAAATGTCTTTATCATTTTGCCTTCTGATGAGTCATTGAGGAGAGTTTCAGTTTCTCTCTTTTCCAGAGAGTTGTTTATGTTCTCAGTTATTTTATTTCTTTTATCCAAGATACAGTTTGCATACTTAATATGCATTCAGTACTAATTACTAATTATTTTAGTTAATTTTAGGTGTTTTTGAGTCACCTGTACAACGTATGTCCTATCTTATGTCAAGCAATTGCTATTCAAATATTTTCCCACATTTAATTGGATTATTTGTTCTCTTATTAGTGAGTTTCAGAGCTCTTATTTATTATGGTTATAATATACTTTGTATGAATATTGATGTGTATGTGTGGGTGTTTGTGTGTATGTAAAATATATGTGTATTTGCATAACCAGCTGAAGAGAGAAAACTATTCTGTAACCTTCAAGGAATTCCCTAATACCACAGTGTTATATTCTTTGTCCATAATCCCTTATGACTACTGATTTCTTTTCCATGTCTCTAATTTTGTCATTTTGAGAATAATATGTACCTGGAATCATAAAGTACATGTCGTTTTAAGATTGGCCTCTGTTTTACTTTGGCATGCACTTGAGATTCATCCAAGTTGTTACATGTATTAATATTTTCTTCCATTTTTTGATGAGAAATATTACTGGTATGGTTAACTGTGTTACAGGTATGGTGGTATGGTTATGTAACTTTGGTTAAACCACCGTTGAACCATTCACTCATTGAAGGACCTGTAGCCTCTCTACATTTTTAGCTATTACAAGCAAAGTTTCAATGAAAATTCATGCAAAAGCTTTTATGTTCATTTCTCTAAAATCAACATGCACGAATAGAATTTCTGGGTCAAATGATACTTGCATGTTTATAGCATGTTGTATAATAAAGTGTCAAATTGTTTTTCAGGAGAGCTGTACCATTTTATACTCTCACAAGAAATGTATGAATAATCCAGTTTCTCTGCATCCTTGCCACCTTATTGTGTGGTCATGTTTTAACAATGTGTAGCCACTTTGACAGATAGAGAGCAGTTAGAACTCTTGATAGTTTCCTTGTGCATTTCCGTCATAGCCAATATGCTCAGCATCTTTGCCTGTGCTTCTTTGCCATTGCTGTGACTTCGTTGGCCAAGTTTTTGTTCAAGTCTTTCAATTATTTGATCATTTTCTATTGAGTGTCTCTTTTCACCTGATGACTTTTAGATTTGTCAATAAGTGTTTTTCATTCCCAGTGAGTTTCCATGCAATTATATTTGTTGGAGTTTTGCACATGTCAAATTATTAATATTTTATGTTTATGCATTCTGACACAATGGATTTAGCCTAAATTTGAGGAACATTAGTTTCTGCATGGCTTTCTTCTAGAACTATAAGCTATTTTTACTTTTTCTATGTACGTTTGCTTTTCCATATATATGCCAATATATACATGTATAAGTTTCTCTGTGTAAGTCAGGATAGTATACATAGGCCACATCCTATATATAGGATACATCTATAGAAAGATTCTACCTGTTTTGCTCTTTGAGAAGGACCCTAGCTCTGAAAAATAATGTTAATAAAGAAATGCAGGGAAGTCGAGTATTGATTTATGGAATAGACAGGGTTTCTTGGTAAGACAGCCATTCAAAAGTCTATCAAGTACTGGAATGGTTGTACAGCAGAATGTAAGCATTTTTTTAATCTAAATCTTTTTCTAAAAAAAAATTAATGTTTCGGTATGGAGCTTCTATAAATAGGAAAGAATTATCACATATTAAATAAGAGCTTTGGGGAAATGTTCAATCAGAATATCATGAAATATACTGACAATGTTGGTGTAATTGCACGTTGGAGCAGACATTCATGAATAATGTATAGAACTGCAGTGTTTAGAAGGTTGGGGATGAGATTAAGGAAAGGATCCATAACATTCTTAGTATTGATCTACATAGAAAACTAAATTGTTCATCAGTATTTGTATCAGTATAATTATAAATAAATTGATGTCTTCAGAAGAAAAAGTTCATGTCTACATTACATATCACAAACTAGAAATCTGTCTTCGATTTGAGCCATGCTAGCTTTTCGGAAATGAATAGTCTTTTAATGACAAATAGAATTGAGTACCAATAAGAAGGGAAAATATTTCATCCTTTGACTTGCTCCATCATGACTGAGGACAAATTCTGAAAGTTCTATAGAGATCACAGAAGGAGAACAAATAATTACATAATTTGCATGGAAATTCCAAAAACTTTGGATAGCCAAAGCAATGTTGTGAAAGAAGCATGGAATTGGAGGAACCAAGCTGCCTGACTTCAGGCAATACTACAAAGTTACAGTCATCAAGACAATATGGAACCAGCAGAAAGACAGAAATACAGGTCAGGAACAAAATGGAAAGCCCAGAAATAAATCCACCCACCTATGGACACCTTGTCTTTGACGAAGCAGGCAAGAGTATACAATGGAGAAAAAACAATCTCTTTAACAAGTGCTACTAGGGAAACTGGTCAGCTACTTGGAAAGAATGAGACTAGAAGACTTTCTAACCCCATGTACAGGAATAAACTCAAAACGCATTAAAGATGTCAATGTAAGACCAGAAACTAGAAAACTCCTAGAGGAAAACATAGGCAAAACACTCTTTGACATACGTCGCAGCAGGGTCCTCAAGGACCCACCTCCCAGAGGAATGGAAATAAAAGCAAAAAATAAACGAATAGGACCTAATGTAACTTAAAAGCTTTTGCACAACAAAGAAAGTATAAGCAAGATGAAAAGACAGGCTTCAGAATGGGAGAAAATCATAGCAAATGAAGCAATGGACAATGAATTAATCTCAGAAATATGCAAGCAGCCCCTGAAGCTCAATTCCAGGAAAATAAATGATCCATTCAAAAAACGGGCCAAAGAACTAAACAGACAGTTCTCCAAAAAGACATCCAGATGGCTAACAAACACATGAAAAGATGCTCAACATCACTCATTATCAAGGAAATGCAAATCAAATCCACGATGAAGGACCATCTCACGTTGGTCAGAACGGCTCCTATCAAAAAGTCTACAAAGAATAAGTGCTGAAGAGGAACAGTGTGGAGATTCCTCAGAAATTGGAAATGGAACTTCCCTACCACCCAGGAATCCCGCTGCTGGGCATACACACTAAGGAAACCAGAATTGAAAGAGACGCGTGTACCACAATATTCATCACAGTACTGTTTATACTAGCCAGGACATGGAAGCAACCTAGATGTCCAGGGGTGACGAATGGATAAGCATCCATGCTTCGTATGCACAGTGGAATATTACTCAGCTATTAAAAAGAATGCATTTGCATCAGTTCTAATGAGGTGTATGAAGCTGGAGCCTATTTTAGACTGAAGGAAGTTAGAAAGAAAAACACCAATCCAGTATATTAATGCATATAAATGGAATTTAGAAAAATGGTAACAATGACCCTATATGTGGGACAGCAAGAGAGACACAAAGGTAAAAACAGACTCTTGGACTCTGTGAGAGAAGGTGAGAGTGGGATGATTTGAGCAAATAGCATTGAAACATGTATGTGGAACTGATTTCCACTAGAGCTTGGATGCATGAGGCAGGGTGTTCTGGGCTTTTGCGGTGGGATGATCCTGAGGGATGGGATGGGGAGGGAGGCGGAAAGGGGGTTCAGGATGGGGAACACATGTACATCCATGGCTAGTTCATGACAATATACGGCAAAACCATTATATTATTGTAAAGTATTAAGCCTCCAAATGAAATAAATCAATTAAAATGAAAGAACTTACAAAAAAGAAAAACAGGCAGCACACCCAGGGGTCTTTCACTCATACATTTTAAATCACATTCAGTGACTGACTTTGAATCAACAGTGGGGTCACCCAGGCATTAGAGTGCCAGAAAATGTGAATCAGGCAGCTGCAGTCCAGGTCAAAGATGACATATCATTGAGTTCCAATTTGCACACAACTCTTTGGATGCTGATAGTGAAATTCTGTGTTCTGCTTGCTTCTAAATAGTTTTCTGAAAACACACAGGATTCTCATCATCAGAACCTCTGCCTTATATATCTCCATATTTGTTTAAATTCTCCTTGAAATTTTTAAAATATTTCAACCTGAAAGTTAACACCAAATTTGATATTGCATTCTCTTTCTTTTAAACCATGATAAACTTCTAGAAGTTGGACTCACAAAAGACTTTATTTATCCATCATCAGTGCAGACTCCTAACCCACTCCACACCTCTACTCTCTGGCTAACTGGGGACCCGAGGGTCTGTTCCCCAACTTCTCAAGACCACATATCCCTCCCGTTTCCAGGGCCCACCTCTTCACTTCTTTCCCTCCCTTCCATCAGAAAATTCACACACACACAAATATCATCTTTTCACCATTTGAGATTTCTTTTATTGGCAGCCATCAGCTTACTATGTTAGTGTGAGAGTCTATTTTGGTTGGCCATTTCTAACAAAGCAGACCCTTGGAGACACAATTCTAAACTGTCTGAACTTTGCTATTCATTAACTGGCTGCCAACTTGTACTTGTCCAGGGTCTCTTATTTTGGGGCGGCTGAGCTTATTTTCTCTTTGGATTCTGCCTCCTTCCATGACTTTGCCTCATATTTTGGTACCTTTTTCGGCTTCTATTTGATTTCTTACGTCCACAGCCAGAGAAGAAACGGTTTGCTTTTCTTGTTTTCTTCGGCTTCATCGATTGAGTGGCATACGATCGGATTTTCTTTCTGAAGGTCCCTTGTAGAGGTCTTCTGACCCTCATGGTCATATTTCGTGCCTGGAAGACAAGACAAGGGTATCAGTGTGGAGGAAAGGACATAAAAACTGAGGTGGAAGGGAGATTTCATGAGAAAGAAATGTGAGCTAATGGGGACATTTGTGCCAGGCATGGGCAGGGTAGAGGTCTTGGGCAGCAAAGTCAATGCAGAACATGGGAAGCTTAGTTGGAGTCCTCTTACCTCCACACCACGTCTGCCCCTCCTTTGACAAAGGGTCTTCTTCATTCCATTCTTCCTTGAAGCAAACCGCATTGCAACTCTTCTTGACGGCCGTGGCTTCCTGGTTGCCTTAGTCATGATGGTGCCAAGAAGTGGCCTAACCCAGACTTTCAGCCTCTGACCTCCCTATTTATACCCTTTGAGGACAATGAAGAGCCACACCCTTCAATCTGATTGGTCTGTTAGGCACTGCCCCAGCCAATAGTAGCTTGTGGGGCTTAGACATCACAATGCACCACTGGGACCATCAACATGGGCTAGTGGATGCTGAGGGAGACCGTGATATAACTTTCCCACTGCTGACAGGTCTGTGTGCCTGACTCTGGGGAGTGGTGATTCAGGGGCATGGTGCTTCTCCTCATGACCTTCAAACTTCCTTTGCGTTCCCTTTATCCTTTGACTTATATGTGCCACTTCAACCCTCATGCCTCTTTCATCCCTCTAGGAACATCTGCCAAACCTTTTCTGTCCCACTTCATCCCTTCAGAGTCCTCTAAGCACTTCATCTCTAGATCACCTTCTGCCTCTTGGGGATTCCTGAGCGGCTTAAGGAACTTAAGAGAAAGCACTTAAAGTGGACAAAGGTAATGAAGAGCAGGTTGGATGTTTTATCTACTGTGGTGAGCTTCAGCGACCCCCAGACTTGGTGAATCCTCAGTCTGTTGCCCAAAGGTCAATATACAGTCTCCATCAGAGTACATATCAGAGCAAAGACAGTTTTAAATGTCTCCTCCACTAAATTTTTTGGGGACACTTCAACTCTCATACTGAGTAGGGAATCTCAACTTGCCCCATCTAGTAGAAAAAAATTCCTGACTTTTGCTTTGCACAAAAGGAAGGTGCTCAAAGTCAAGAATCCGTTCACCACTGCATCGCTGAGTCTTGACCAAATCAATTCCCCAGTCACCCCTCCTTGACCGTTCTCAGTAGGTAGGGCCCATTGCAGTGCTGACCAATAGCTGGGCAGGGCAAGTACCTGTAGGTAGCTCATTGATAGTTGGTTGCTTGTGGGTGGGGCCAGTGAGGCACTGACCAATGGCTGAGCAAGTCCTGTTGCCTAGTAACAGGAGGCGGAGTAATAAGGCACAGCAATGGCTACCTGGGCAGGGCTCTGCCCATGTTGCTCTGTTACATAAGAACACTTTGGGTCCAGTGTGCTGGCATCTTTTTGACTGACTCCTTTCCAACCTCAGATTTTTATTTCCCATGCTTATTTAACTTTTGCCCATCATTCTTTCCGTTCTCTTCCCAGGCATTCCTGTCACCAGCGCTTATCTCTATGCCCCTCCAACAGCTGCCACTTGATCACATGTTCCCCATATAGTATACATAGTTCAAAACCAACAAGAATGTGCAGGCCAGCCCACGTTGAAAACTACATTGAGAAACCTTAACTTCACAGTGATTCTTTTTCTATTTACAGTGTAACAGAGCAGGATGAGCACAGCCCTGAAGAGGGAGCCTTTGGTGTGCTCCATTTCAACCCACCCTGTTCCTAGGCAACAGGTGTTGCTCAACCATTGCTTGGTGCCTCAGAGGGCCCCATCCACAAGCAAACAATTGTAAATGAGTGACTGTTAGCTGTCCTGCTTAGCTATTGGGCAGCACTGCAGTGGGCAATGCCCGCAGGTTACTGTCAGTGAGGGACCTTTGGGGAAGCAATTAAGTCAAGGGTGGTGTGGTGGCACTCAGGGGGAGACTGAGGCAAGAGGCAGAGTCAGGCCTTCTTCCGGAGGCCCTGGAGCTCATGCCGACTTGGGCCAGTGGGTGAGCTGGAGGGTCCAGGGAATAGCCTGGGGACTACATGCTGTAGCGCTCTTTTGTTCCTCTTTGCTGTCTGCCTTCACGGTGGTGTCGCCTGCATATCTGAGGTGATTGATACTTCTCCCGGCAATCTTCCAGCTTGTGCTTCATCCAGTCTTGCATTTCTCATGATGTACTCTGCATATAAGTTAAATAAGCAGGATGGCAACATACAGCCTTAACATACCCCTTTCCCAATTTGGAACCAGTCTGATATTTCATGTCCGGTTCTAACTCACGCTGCTTTCCCTTCATTCAGAGTTCTCAGGAGGCAGGTAAGAGGGCCTGGTATTCCCATCTCTTGAAGGATTTCCCACAATTTGTTCTGATCCACACAAGACAATGCTTGAGCCTAGTCAGTGAAGCAGATGCTTTTCTGGAATTGTCTTGCTTTTTCTATGATCCAACAGATGCTGTCCATTTGAACTCTTGTTCCTCTGCCTTTTCATAGTCAAGCTTGAACATCTGGAAATTCTTGGTTCATGTATTGTAGAAGCCTAGCGTGAAGAATGCTCAGCGTATTTTAGGTAGTGTGTGAGATGACCCTATCTCCATAGTTATTTCAAATCAAGCTCCTTCTTACATTAGTCTGGATTTGTTTTAGTTAATTGCAAAAATGGACATAAATTCTTTGGAGTTATGCTTATTTCCCCCTTCACAGGTACTAATTCACTCCCTGTGTTATTTCAGGCATCGTTTTGAGTGCAAGGCACACATCATGAGCCAATACCTAGGACCCTGGTTTCATGGGGCTTACATTCTGGTCAGTGAGGATGGAAGGTTCATACTAACCACAAATAGTCAATTATACAGTATAGCGAGAACCTTATTAGTTATGAGAAACGGGGAGTCTTTCCTTCCCAGAGGATAATGATGGAAGGCCTTATGAATGCAGGACATTTAAGCAAAGACTTAGTTAAAGAAAAGAGGGGATGACTTTGTGGCTATCTTGGGCAATAAAGACTGGGGAGAGGAAAAGGCCAGAGCAAAAGCCCCCAAAAGTCATTATCTATGTTCTTCCAAGAAAACAAGGAGACTGGTGCAAGTGGGACCAGGTGAGTGAGGATGAGACTAGAAAGTGATGAGCTGCTCATGAGAGAGAACAGGGCAGGAAAAGGAGGAATGTAATGGTAAACTTATCTTTCCACTTACATGATGAATTGATTCACCGGACACAAACCACACTGGGCTGTGGTGGTAAAAGGGAGAGGCATTTGTCATAGTCTGATGGCAAGGAAGTGGGAGAGGAGTACTTTTCAGTAAAGACACCCGAGATGAATCCTGAGCCAGCTAAAGTAGACAGATCAAGTGGAAAGCTGTGAAAATGTTTCCCAGAAAGTGAGGGAGAACGTACCAAGGTACCGAGACCCAAGAGACCTGGCTATACATGCCTTGCATATGACTGGAATCTAAGGTATGATGGGGAAATTGTGAAGAAACATGGCTTTGAAGGAAGAGGGAAGAACTTGAAGCGACACTTGGGCATATGTTAAGTTAATGTCTGGGTTACCATGCTTTGAAAGAGCATTATTAATATTTTCTAATTGTAAATATACACTCGAGGCAAACCAGTGTGGAAATTGCAAAACGGAGTACAAAAATGAAATTAGAGGACACCCATAAGTGTGTCAATAGACATATATACTGTTCATATTCTGCCTTTGTTGTTCTACCTAAACCTTTATAACATATATATTATATGTGTTATATACTGTGAAATATATACATATAATACACAGATATTTAGATGAGCCTATGTACATCAGTGTTTTTTTTTTAATTTATACAAATTGAATCAATCTTTATGCTATATTGTAACCTTCCTTTTCTATAACATATGCTGGGAGAATGTTTCCACCTCAACAAACATGTAACTACCAGTATTTCTGCGGATTACTATGGTGTTCAAATGCTTGCTTATCCCATACTCCATGCAAGTGCTATGAAGACAGGAACCATGTGCATCTTGCTCACTGGTTGCTTCCATATCTCTTCTATTGTAAGGAAGGATGTAATAAACTTTGGGGTACATGTATCTCTTAAAATTTGTGTTCATTTTCTTTTGATGTAGAGCTAGGTGTGGAATAGCTGGGCCACATGGGAGATCTATTTTAATGTTTTTAAGAAACTTCAACATTGTTTTCCACGGTGAGTGCACAAGTTTACATTCCCACCAGTTATGTACAAGGGTTTCCTTGAGTCCATATCCTTGCCACCATATGTTATTTTCAGATTTTTGGCTTGATGATAGCCATTCTGACAGCTGTGAGGTGATATCTCCCAGTGATTTTCATTTCTCTTTCTCTAATTATTCGTGATGTTCAGCATTTTTCCATGTGCCTATTAACTCATACTGGAAGTACTCTTTCTAGTCTGGTTCTTTAAGTTGAAAAACTTTCAAGTTCTTACAATCATCAATAACATGTTCCATTTTCTTCTTGAATAGTACTCTCTCGGATTTATGCACCATTTGTATATTGGTTTACCATTTGAATCACATTTGAGTTCTTGCCAGTTTGGGGCTATTATTAATAGAGCCACAGTAAACATTGGCATGAAGCGTTTTATGTGAAGAGAAATTCATGTTTTACGCGGGAGTTATTTTCGGAATGGGATTACTCATTTTTCCAGTGTGCAGATATTTATGAGCAATGAAAAACATTTCCCAAAATGTCTTTATCATTTTGCCTTCTGATGAGTCATTGAGGAGAGTTTCAGTTTCTCTCTTTTCCAGAGAGTTGTTTATGTTCTCAGTTATTTTATTTCTTTTATCCAAGATACAGTTTGCATACTTAATATGCATTCAGTACTAATTACTAATTATTTTAGTTAATTTTAGGTGTTTTTGAGTCACCTGTACAACGTATGTCCTATCTTATGTCAAGCAATTGCTATTCAAATATTTTCCCACATTTAATTGGATTATTTGTTCTCTTATTAGTGAGTTTCAGAGCTCTTATTTATTATGGTTATAATATACTTTGTATGAATATTGATGTGTATGTGTGGGTGTTTGTGTGTATGTAAAATATATGTGTATTTGCATAACCAGCTGAAGAGAGAAAACTATTCTGTAACCTTCAAGGAATTCCCTAATACCACAGTGTTATATTCTTTGTCCATAATCCCTTATGACTACTGATTTCTTTTCCATGTCTCTAATTTTGTCATTTTGAGAATAATATGTACCTGGAATCATAAAGTACATGTCGTTTTAAGATTGGCCTCTGTTTTACTTTGGCATGCACTTGAGATTCATCCAAGTTGTTACATGTATTAATATTTTCTTCCATTTTTTGATGAGAAATATTACTGGTATGGTTAACTGTGTTACAGGTATGGTGGTATGGTTATGTAACTTTGGTTAAACCACCGTTGAACCATTCACTCATTGAAGGACCTGTAGCCTCTCTACATTTTTAGCTATTACAAGCAAAGTTTCAATGAAAATTCATGCAAAAGCTTTTATGTTCATTTCTCTAAAATCAACATGCACGAATAGAATTTCTGGGTCAAATGATACTTGCATGTTTATAGCATGTTGTATAATAAAGTGTCAAATTGTTTTTCAGGAGAGCTGTACCATTTTATACTCTCACAAGAAATGTATGAATAATCCAGTTTCTCTGCATCCTTGCCACCTTATTGTGTGGTCATGTTTTAACAATGTGTAGCCACTTTGACAGATAGAGAGCAGTTAGAACTCTTGATAGTTTCCTTGTGCATTTCCGTCATAGCCAATATGCTCAGCATCTTTGCCTGTGCTTCTTTGCCATTGCTGTGACTTCGTTGGCCAAGTTTTTGTTCAAGTCTTTCAATTATTTGATCATTTTCTATTGAGTGTCTCTTTTCACCTGATGACTTTTAGATTTGTCAATAAGTGTTTTTCATTCCCAGTGAGTTTCCATGCAATTATATTTGTTGGAGTTTTGCACATGTCAAATTATTAATATTTTATGTTTATGCATTCTGACACAATGGATTTAGCCTAAATTTGAGGAACATTAGTTTCTGCATGGCTTTCTTCTAGAACTATAAGCTATTTTTACTTTTTCTATGTACGTTTGCTTTTCCATATATATGCCAATATATACATGTATAAGTTTCTCTGTGTAAGTCAGGATAGTATACATAGGCCACATCCTATATATAGGATACATCTATAGAAAGATTCTACCTGTTTTGCTCTTTGAGAAGGACCCTAGCTCTGAAAAATAATGTTAATAAAGAAATGCAGGGAAGTCGAGTATTGATTTATGGAATAGACAGGGTTTCTTGGTAAGACAGCCATTCAAAAGTCTATCAAGTACTGGAATGGTTGTACAGCTGAATGTAAGCATTTTTTTAATCTAAATCTTTTTCTAAAAAAAAATTAATGTTTCGGTATGGAGCTTCTATAAATAGGAAAGTATTATCACATATTAAATAAGAGCTTTGGGGAAATGTTCAATCAGAATATCATGAAATATACTGACAATGTTGGTGTAATTGCACGTTGGAGCAGACATTCATGAATAATGTATAGAACTGCAGTGTTTAGAAGGTTGGGGATGAGATTAAGGAAAGGATCCATAACATTCTTAGTATTGATCTACATAGAAAACTAAATTGTTCATCAGTATTTGTATCAGTATAATTATAAATAAATTGATGTCTTCAGAAGAAAAAGTTCATGTCTACATTACATATCACAAACTAGAAATCTGTCTTCGATTTGAGCCATGCTAGCTTTTCGGAAATGAATAGTCTTTTAATGACAAATAGAATTGAGTACCAATAAGAAGGGAAAATATTTCATCCTTTGACTTGCTCCATCATGACTGAGGACAAATTCTGAAAGTTCTATAGAGATCACAGAAGGAGAACAAATAATTACATAATTTGCATGGAAATTCCAAAAACTTTGGATAGCCAAAGCAATGTTGTGAAAGAAGCATGGAATTGGAGGAACCAAGCTGCCTGACTTCAGGCAATACTACAAAGTTACAGTCATCAAGACAATATGGAACCAGCAGAAAGACAGAAATACAGGTCAGGAACAAAATGGAAAGCCCAGAAATAAATCCACCCACCTATGGACACCTTGTCTTTGACGAAGCAGGCAAGAGTATACAATGGAGAAAAAACAATCTCTTTAACAAGTGCTACTAGGGAAACTGGTCAGCTACTTGGAAAGAATGAGACTAGAAGACTTTCTAACCCCATGTACAGGAATAAACTCAAAACGCATTAAAGATGTCAATGTAAGACCAGAAACTAGAAAACTCCTAGAGGAAAACATAGGCAAAACACTCTTTGACATACGTCGCAGCAGGGTCCTCAAGGACCCACCTCCCAGAGGAATGGAAATAAAAGCAAAAAATAAACGAATAGGACCTAATGTAACTTAAAAGCTTTTGCACAACAAAGAAAGTATAAGCAAGATGAAAAGACAGGCTTCAGAATGGGAGAAAATCATAGCAAATGAAGCAATGGACAATGAATTAATCTCAGAAATATGCAAGCAGCCCCTGAAGCTCAATTCCAGGAAAATAAATGATCCATTCAAAAAACGGGCCAAAGAACTAAACAGACAGTTCTCCAAAAAGACATCCAGATGGCTAACAAACACATGAAAAGATGCTCAACATCACTCATTATCAAGGAAATGCAAATCAAATCCACGATGAAGGACCATCTCACGTTGGTCAGAACGGCTCCTATCAAAAAGTCTACAAAGAATAAGTGCTGAAGAGGAACAGTGTGGAGATTCCTCAGAAATTGGAAATGGAACTTCCCTACCACCCAGGAATCCCGCTGCTGGGCATACACACTAAGGAAACCAGAATTGAAAGAGACGCGTGTACCACAATATTCATCACAGTACTGTTTATACTAGCCAGGACATGGAAGCAACCTAGATGTCCAGGGGTGACGAATGGATAAGCATCCATGCTTCGTATGCACAGTGGAATATTACTCAGCTATTAAAAAGAATGCATTTGCATCAGTTCTAATGAGGTGTATGAAGCTGGAGCCTATTTTAGACTGAAGGAAGTTAGAAAGAAAAACACCAATCCAGTATATTAATGCATATAAATGGAATTTAGAAAAATGGTAACAATGACCCTATATGTGGGACAGCAAGAGAGACACAAAGGTAAAAACAGACTCTTGGACTCTGTGAGAGAAGGTGAGAGTGGGATGATTTGAGCAAATAGCATTGAAACATGTATGTGGAACTGATTTCCACTAGAGCTTGGATGCATGAGGCAGGGTGTTCTGGGCTTTTGCGGTGGGACGATCCTGAGGGATGGGATGGGGAGGGAGGCGGGAAGGGGGTTCAGGATGGGGAACACATGTACATCCATGGCTAGTTCATGACAATATACGGCAAAACCATTATAATATTGTAAAGTATTAAGCCTCCAAATGAAATAAATCAATTAAAATGAAAGAACTTACAAAAAAGAAAAACAGGCAGCACACCCAGGGGTCTTTCACTCATACATTTTAAATCACATTCAGTGACTGACTTTGAATCAACAGTGGGGTCACCCAGGCATTAGAGTGCCAGAAAATGTGAATCAGGCAGCTGCAGTCCAGGTCAAAGATGACATATCATTGAGTTCCAATTTGCACACAACTCTTTGGATGCTGATAGTGAAATTCTGTGTTCTGCTTGCTTCTAAATAGTTTTCTGAAAACACACAGGATTCTCATCATCAGAACCTCTGCCTTATATATCTCCATATTTGTTTAAATTCTCCTTGAAATTTTTAAAATATTTCAACCTGAAAGTTAACACCAAATTTGATATTGCATTCTCTTTCTTTTAAACCATGATAAACTTCTAGAAGTTGGACTCACAAAAGACTTTATTTATCCATCATCAGTGCAGACTCCTAACCCACTCCACACCTCTACTCTCTGGCTAACTGGGGACCCGAGGGTCTGTTCCCCAACTTCTCAAGACCACATATCCCTCCCGTTTCCAGGGCCCACCTCTTCACTTCTTTCCCTCCCTTCCATCAGAAAATTCACACACACACAAATATCATCTTTTCACCATTTGAGATTTCTTTTATTGGCAGCCATCAGCTTACTATGTTAGTGTGAGAGTCTATTTTGGTTGGCCATTTCTAACAAAGCAGACCCTTGGAGACACAATTCTAAACTGTCTGAACTTTGCTATTCATTAACTGGCTGCCAACTTGTACTTGTCCAGGGTCTCTTATTTTGGGGCGGCTGAGCTTATTTTCTCTTTGGATTCTGCCTCCTTCCATGACTTTGCCTCATATTTTGGTACCTTTTTCGGCTTCTATTTGATTTCTTACGTCCACAGCCAGAGAAGAAACGGTTTGCTTTTCTTGTTTTCTTCGGCTTCATCGATTGAGTGGCATACGATCGGATTTTCTTTCTGAAGGTCCCTTGTAGAGGTCTTCTGACCCTCATGGTCATATTTCGTGCCTGGAAGACAAGACAAGGGTATCAGTGTGGAGGAAAGGACATAAAAACTGAGGTGGAAGGGAGATTTCATGAGAAAGAAATGTGAGCTAATGGGGACATTTGTGCCAGGCATGGGCAGGGTAGAGGTCTTGGGCAGCAAAGTCAATGCAGAACATGGGAAGCTTAGTTGGAGTCCTCTTACCTCCACACCACGTCTGCCCCTCCTTTGACAAAGGGTCTTCTTCATTCCATTCTTCCTTGAAGCAAACCGCATTGCAACTCTTCTTGACGGCCGTGGCTTCCTGGTTGCCTTAGTCATGATGGTGCCAAGAAGTGGCCTAACCCAGACTTTCAGCCTCTGACCTCCCTATTTATACCCTTTGAGGACAATGAAGAGCCACACCCTTCAATCTGATTGGTCTGTTAGGCACTGCCCCAGCCAATAGTAGCTTGTGGGGCTTAGACATCACAATGCACCACTGGGACCATCAACATGGGCTAGTGGATGCTGAGGGAGACCGTGATATAACTTTCCCACTGCTGACAGGTCTGTGTGCCTGACTCTGGGGAGTGGTGATTCAGGGGCATGGTGCTTCTCCTCATGACCTTCAAACTTCCTTTGCGTTCCCTTTATCCTTTGACTTATATGTGCCACTTCAACCCTCATGCCTCTTTCATCCCTCTAGGAACATCTGCCAAACCTTTTCTGTCCCACTTCATCCCTTCAGAGTCCTCTAAGCACTTCATCTCTAGATCACCTTCTGCCTCTTGGGGATTCCTGAGCGGCTTAAGGAACTTAAGAGAAAGCACTTAAAGTGGACAAAGGTAATGAAGAGCAGGTTGGATGTTTTATCTACTGTGGTGAGCTTCAGCGACCCCCAGACTTGGTGAATCCTCAGTCTGTTGCACAAAGGTCAATATACAGTCTCCATCAGAGTACATATCAGAGCAAAGACAGTTTTAAATGTCTCCTCCACTAAATTTTTTGGGGACACTTCAACTCTCATACTGAGTAGGGAATCTCAACTTGCCCCATCTAGTAGAAAAAAATTCCTGACTTTTGCTTTGTACAAAAGGAAGGTGCTCAAAGTCAAGAATCCGTTCACCACTGCATCGCTGAGTCTTGACCAAATCAATTCCCCAGTCACCCCTCCTTGACCGTTCTCAGTAGGTAGGGCCCATTGCAGTGCTGACCAATAGCTGGGCAGGGCAAGTACCTGTAGGTAGCTCATTGATAGTTGGTTGCTTGTGGGTGGGGCCAGTGAGGCACTGACCAATGGCTGAGCAAGTCCTGTTGCCTAGTAACAGGAGGCGGAGTAATAAGGCACAGCAATGGCTACCTGGGCAGGGCTCTGCCCATGTTGCTCTGTTACATAAGAACACTTTGGGTCCAGTGTGCTGGCATCTTTTTGACTGACTCCTTTCCAACCTCAGATTTTTATTTCCCATGCTTATTTAACTTTTGCCCATCATTCTTTCCGTTCTCTTCCCAGGCATTCCTGTCACCAGCGCTTATCTCTATGCCCCTCCAACAGCTGCCACTTGATCACATGTTCCGCATACAGTATACATAGTTCAAAACCAACAAGAATGTGCAGGCCAGCCCACGTTGAAAACTACATTGAGAAACCTTAACTTCACAGTGATTCTTTTTCTATTTACAGTGTAACAGTGCAGGATGAGCACAGCCCTGAAGAGGGAGCCTTTGGTGTGCTCCATTTCAACCCACCCTGTTCCTAGGCAACAGGTGTTGCTCAACCATTGCTTGGTGCCTCAGAGGGCCCCATCCACAAGCAAACAATTGTAAATGAGTGACTGTTAGCTGTCCTGCTTAGCTATTGGGCAGCACTGCAGTGGGCAATGCCCGCAGGTTACTGTCAGTGAGGGACCTTTGGGGAAGCAATTAAGTCAAGGGTGGTGTGGTGGCACTCAGGGGGAGACTGAGGCAAGAGGCAGAGTCAGGCCTTCTTCCGGAGGCCCTGGAGCTCATGCCGACTTGGGCCAGTGGGTGAGCTGGAGGGTCCAGGGAATAGCCTGGGGACTACATGCTGTAGCGCTCTTTTGTTCCTCTTTGCTGTCTGCCTTCACGGTGGTGTCGCCTGCATATCTGAGGTGATTGATACTTCTCCCGGCAATCTTCCAGCTTGTGCTTCATCCAGTCTTGCATTTCTCATGATGTACTCTGCATATAAGTTAAATAAGCAGGATGGCAACATACAGCCTTAACATACCCCTTTCCCAATTTGGAACCAGTCTGATATTTCATGTCCGGTTCTAACTCACGCTGCTTTCCCTTCATTCAGAGTTCTCAGGAGGCAGGTAAGAGGGCCTGGTATTCCCATCTCTTGAAGGATTTCCCACAATTTGTTCTGATCCACACAAGACAATGCTTGAGCCTAGTCAGTGAAGCAGATGCTTTTCTGGAATTGTCTTGCTTTTTCTATGATCCAACAGATGCTGTCCATTTGAACTCTTGTTCCTCTGCCTTTTCATAGTCAAGCTTGAACATCTGGAAATTCTTGGTTCATGTATTGTAGAAGCCTAGCGTGAAGAATGCTCAGCGTATTTTAGGTAGTGTGTGAGATGACCCTATCTCCATAGTTATTTCAAATCAAGCTCCTTCTTACATTAGTCTGGATTTGTTTTAGTTAATTGCAAAAATGGACATAAATTCTTTGGAGTTATGCTTATTTCCCCCTTCACAGGTACTAATTCACTCCCTGTGTTATTTCAGGCATCGTTGTGAGTGCAAGGCACACATCATGAGCCAATACCTAGGACCCTGGTTTCATGGGGCTTACATTCTGGTCAGTGAGGATGGAAGGTTCATACTAACCACAAATAGTCAATTATACAGTATAGCGAGAACCTTATTAGTTATGAGAAACGGGGAGTCTTTCCTTCCCAGAGGATAATGATGGAAGGCCTTATGAATGCAGGACATTTAAGCAAAGACTTAGTTAAAGAAAAGAGGGGATGACTTTGTGGCTATCTTGGGCAATAAAGACTGGGGAGAGGAAAAGGCCAGAGCAAAAGCCCCCAAAAGTCATTATCTATGTTCTTCCAAGAAAACAAGGAGACTGGTGCAAGTGGGACCAGGTGAGTGAGGATGAGACTAGAAAGTGATGAGCTGCTCATGAGAGAGAACAGGGCAGGAAAAGGAGGAATGTAATGGTAAACTTATCTTTCCACTTACATGATGAATTGATTCACCGGACACAAACCACACTGGGCTGTGGTGGTAAAAGGGAGAGGCATTTGTCATAGTCTGATGGCAAGGAAGTGGGAGAGGAGTACTTTTCAGTAAAGACACCCGAGATGAATCCTGAGCCAGCTAAAGTAGACAGATCAAGTGGAAAGCTGTGAAAATGTTTCCCAGAAAGTGAGGGAGAACGTACCAAGGTACCGAGACCCAAGAGACCTGGCTATACATGCCTTGCATATGACTGGAATCTAAGGTATGATGGGGAAATTGTGAAGAAACATGGCTTTGAAGGAAGAGGGAAGAACTTGAAGCGACACTTGGGCATATGTTAAGTTAATGTCTGGGTTACCATGCTTTGAAAGAGCATTATTAATATTTTCTAATTGTAAATATACACTCGAGGCAAACCAGTGTGGAAATTGCAAAACGGAGTACAAAAATGAAATTAGAGGACACCCATAAGTGTGTCAATAGACATATATACTGTTCATATTCTGCCTTTGTTGTTCTACCTAAACCTTTATAACATATATATTATATGTGTTATATACTGTGAAATATATACATATAATACACAGATATTTAGATGAGCCTATGTACATCAGTGTTTTTTTTTTTAATTTATACAAATTGAATCAATCTTTATGCTATATTGTAACCTTCCTTTTCTATAACATATGCTGGGAGAATGTTTCCACCTCAACAAACATGTAACTACCAGTATTTCTGCGGATTACTATGGTGTTCAAATGCTTGCTTATCCCATACTCCATGCAAGTGCTATGAAGAGAGGAACCATGTGCATCTTGCTCACTGGTTGCTTCCATATCTCTTCTATTGTAAGGAAGGATGTAATAAACTTTGGGGTACATGTATCTCTTAAAATTTGTGTTCATTTTCTTTTGATGTAGAGCTAGGTGTGGAATAGCTGGGCCACATGGGAGATCTATTTTAATGTTTTTAAGAAACTTCAACATTGTTTTCCACGGTGAGTGCACAAGTTTACATTCCCACCAGTTATGTACAAGGGTTTCCTTGAGTCCATATCCTTGCCACCATATGTTATTTTCAGATTTTTGGCTTGATGATAGCCATTCTGACAGCTGTGAGGTGATATCTCCCAGTGATTTTCATTTCTCTTTCTCTAATTATTCGTGATGTTCAGCATTTTTCCATGTGCCTATTAACTCATACTGGAAGTACTCTTTCTAGTCTGGTTCTTTAAGTTGAAAAACTTTCAAGTTCTTACAATCATCAATAACATGTTCCATTTTCTTCTTGAATAGTACTCTCTTGGATTTATGCACCATTTGTATATTGGTTTACCATTTGAATCACATTTGAGTTCTTGCCAGTTTGGGGCTATTATTAATAGAGCCACAGTAAACATTGGCATGAAGCGTTTTATGTGAAGAGAAATTCATGTTTTACGCGGGAGTTATTTTCGGAATGGGATTACTCATTTTTCCAGTGTGCAGATATTTATGAGCAATGAAAAACATTTCCCAAAATGTCTTTATCATTTTGCCTTCTGATGAGTCATTGAGGAGAGTTTCAGTTTCTCTCTTTTCCAGAGAGTTGTTTATGTTCTCAGTTATTTTATTTCTTTTATCCAAGATACAGTTTGCATACTTAATATGCATTCAGTACTAATTACTAATTATTTTAGTTAATTTTAGGTGTTTTTGAGTCACCTGTACAACGTATGTCCTATCTTATGTCAAGCAATTGCTATTCAAATATTTTCCCACATTTAATTGGATTATTTGTTCTCTTATTAGTGAGTTTCAGAGCTCTTATTTATTATGGTTATAATATACTTTGTATGAATATTGATGTGTATGTGTGGGTGTTTGTGTGTATGTAAAATATATGTGTATTTGCATAACCAGCTGAAGAGAGAAAACTATTCTGTAACCTTCAAGGAATTCCCTAATACCACAGTGTTATATTCTTTGTCCATAATCCCTTATGACTACTGATTTCTTTTCCATGTCTCTAATTTTGTCATTTTGAGAATAATATGTACGTGGAATCATAAAGTACATGTCGTTTTAAGATTGGCCTCTGTTTTACTTTGGCATGCACTTGAGATTCATCCAAGTTGTTACATGTATTAATATTTTCTTCCATTTTTTGATGAGAAATATTACTGGTATGGTTAACTGTGTTACAGGTATGGTGGTATGGTTATGTAACTTTGGTTAAACCACCGTTGAACCATTCACTCATTGAAGGAGCTCTAGCCTCTCTACATTTTTAGCTATTACAAGCAAAGTTTCAATGAAAATTCATGCAAAAGCTTTTATGTTCATTTCTCTAAAATCAACATGCACGAATAGAATTTCTGGGTCAAATGATACTTGCATGTTTATAGCATGTTGTATAATAAAGTGTCAAATTGTTTTTCAGGAGAGCTGTACCATTTTATACTCTCACAAGAAATGTATGAATAATCCAGTTTCTCTGCATCCTTGCCACCTTATTGTGTGGTCATGTTTTAACAATGTGTAGCCACTTTGACAGATAGAGAGCAGTTAGAACTCTTGATAGTTTCCTTGTGCATTTCCGTCATAGCCAATATGCTCAGCATCTTTGCCTGTGCTTCTTTGCCATTGCTGTGACTTCGTTGGCCAAGTTTTTGTTCAAGTCTTTCAATTATCTTGATCATTTTCTATTGAGTGTCTCTTTTCACCTGATGACTTTTAGATTTGTCAATAAGTGTTTTTCATTCCCAGTGAGTTTCCATGCAATTATATTTGTTGGAGTTTTGCACATGTCAAATTATTAATATTTTATGTTTATGCATTCTGACACAATGGATTTAGCCTAAATTTGAGGAACATTAGTTTCTGCATGGCTTTCTTCTAGAACTATAAGCTATTTTTACTTTTTCTATGTACGTTTGCTTTTCCATATATATGCCAATATATACATGTATAAGTTTCTCTGTGTAAGTCAGGATAGTATACATAGGCCACATCCTATATATAGGATACATCTATAGAAAGATTCTACCTGTTTTGCTCTTTGAGAAGGACCCTAGCTCTGAAAAATAATGTTAATAAAGAAATGCAGGGAAGTCGAGTATTGATTTATGGAATAGACAGGGTTTCTTGGTAAGACAGCCATTCAAAAGTCTATCAAGTACTTGAATGGTTGTACAGCTGAATGTAAGCATTTTTTTAATCTAAATCTTTTTCTAAAAAAAAATTAATGTTTCGGTATGGAGCTTCTATAAATAGGAAAGAATTATCACATATTAAATAAGAGCTTTGGGGAAATGTTCAATCAGAATATCATGAAATATACTGACAATGTTGGTGTAATTGCACGTTGGAGCAGACATTCATGAATAATGTATAGAACTGCAGTGTTTAGAAGGTTGGGGATGAGATTACGGAAAGGATCCATATCATTCTTAGTATTGATCTACATAGAAAACTAAATTGTTCATCAGTATTTGTATCAGTATAATTATAAATAAATTGATGTCTTCAGAAGAAAAAGTTCATGTCTACATTACATATCACAAACTAGAAATCTGTCTTCGATTTGAGCCATGCTAGCTTTTCGGAAATGAATAGTCTTTTAATGACAAATAGAATTGAGTACCAATAAGAAGGGAAAATATTTCATCCTTTGACTTGCTCCATCATGACTGAGGACAAATTCTGAAAGTTCTATAGAGATCACAGAAGGAGAACAAATAATTACATAATTTGCATGGAAATTCCAAAAACTTTGGATAGCCAAAGCAATGTTGTGAAAGAAGCATGGAATTGGAGGAACCAAGCTGCCTGACTTCAGGCAATACTACAAAGTTACAGTCATCAAGACAATATGGAACCAGCAGAGAGACAGAAATACAGGTCAGGAACAAAATGGAAAGCCCAGAAATAAATCCACCCACCTATGGACACCTTGTCTTTGACGAAGCAGGCAAGAGTATACAATGGAGAAAAGACAATCTCTTTAACAAGTGCTACTGGGGAAACTGGTCAGCTACTTGGAAAGAATGAGACTAGAAGACTTTCTAACCCCATGTACAGGAATAAACTCAAAACGCATTAAAGATGTCAATGTAAGACCAGAAACTAGAAAACTCCTAGAGGAAAACATAGGCAAAACACTCTTTGACATAAGTCGCAGCAGGGTCCTCAAGGACCCACCTCCCAGAGGAATGGAAATAAAAGCAAAAAATAAACGAATAGGACCTAATGTAACTTAAAAGCTTTTGCACAACAAAGAAAGTATAAGCAAGATGAAAAGACAGGCTTCAGAATGGGAGAAAATCATAGCAAATGAAGCAATGGACAATGAATTAATCTCAGAAATATGCAAGCAGCCCCTGAAGCTCAATTCCAGGAAAATAAATGATCCATTCAAAAAACGGGCCAAAGAACTAAACAGACAGTTCTCCAAAAAGACATCCAGATGGCTAACAAACACATGAAAAGATGCTCAACATCACTCATTATCAAGGAAATGCAAATCAAATCCACGATGAAGGACCATCTCACGTTGGTCAGAACGGCTCCTATCAAAAAGTCTACAAAGAATAAGTGCTGAAGAGGAACAGTGTGGAGATTCCTCAGAAATTGGAAATGGAACTTCCCTACCACCCGGGAATCCCGCTGCTGGGCATACACACTAAGGAAACCAGAATTGAAAGAGACGCGTGTACCACAATATTCATCACAGTACTGTTTATACTAGCCAGGACATGGAAGCAACCTAGATGTCCAGGGGTGACGAATGGATAAGCATCCATGCTTCGTATGCACAGTGGAATATTACTCAGCTATTAAAAAGAATGCATTTGCATCAGTTCTAATGAGGTGGATGAAGCTGGAGCCTATTTTAGACTGAAGGAAGTTAGAAAGAAAAACACCAATCCAGTATATTAATGCATATAAATGGAATTTAGAAAAATGGTAACAATGACCCTATATGTGGGACAGCAAGAGAGACACAAAGGTAAAAACAGACTCTTGGACTCTGTGAGAGAAGGTGAGAGTGGGATGATTTGAGCAAATAGCATTGAAACATGTATGTGGAACTGATTTCCACTAGAGCTTGGATGCATGAGGCAGGGTGTTCTGGGCTTTTGCGGTGGGACGATCCTGAGGGATGGGATGGGGAGGGAGGCGGGAAGGGGGTTCAGGATGGGGAACACATGTACATCCATGGCTAGTTCATGACAATATACGGCAAAACCATTATAATATTGTAAAGTATTAAGCCTCCAAATGAAATAAATCAATTAAAATGAAAGAACTTACAAAAAAGAAAAACAGGCAGCACACCCAGGGGTCTTTCACTCATACATTTTAAATCACATTCAGTGACTGACTTTGAATCAACAGTGGGGTCACCCAGGCATTAGAGTGCCAGAAAATGTGAATCAGGCAGCTGCAGTCCAGGTCAAAGATGACATATCATTGAGTTCCAATTTGCACACAACTCTTTGGATGCTGATAGTGAAATTCTGTGTTCTGCTTGCTTCTAAATAGTTTTCTGAAAACACACAGGATTCTCATCATCAGAACCTCTGCCTTATATATCTCCATATTTGTTTAAATTCTCCTTGAAATTTTTAAAATATTTCAACCTGAAAGTTAACACCAAATTTGATATTGCATTCTCTTTCTTTTAAACCATGATAAACTTCTAGAAGTTGGACTCACAAAAGACTTTATTTATCCATCATCAGTGCAGACTCCTAACCCACTCCACACCTCTACTCTCTGGCTAACTGGGGACCCGAGGGTCTGTTCCCCAACTTCTCAAGACCACATATCCCTCCCGTTTCCAGTGCCCACCTCTTCACTTCTTTCCCTCCCTTCCATCAGAAAATTCACACACACACAAATATCATCTTTTCACCATTTGAGATTTCTTTTATTGGCAGCCATCAGCTTACTATGTTAGTGTGAGAGTCTATTTTGGTTGGCCATTTCTAACAAAGCAGACCCTTGGAGACACAATTCTAAACTGTCTGAACTTTGCTATTCATTAACTGGCTGCCAACTTGTACTTCTCCAGGGTCTCTTATTTTGGGGCGGCTGAGCTTATTTTCTCTTTGGATTCTGCCTCCTTCCATGACTTTGCCTCATATTTTGGTACCTTTTTCGGCTTCGATTTGATTTCTTACGTCCACAGCCAGAGAAGAAACGGTTTGCTTTTCTTGTTTTCTTCGGCTTCATCGATTGAGTGGCATACGATCGGATTTTCTTTCTGAAGGTCCCTTGTAGAGGTCTTCTGACCCTCATGGTCATATTTCGTGCCTGGAAGACAAGACAAGGGTATCAGTGTGGAGGAAAGGACATAAAAACTGAGGTGGAAGGGAGATTTCATGAGAAAGAAATGTGAGCTAATGGGGACATTTGTGCCAGGCATGGGCAGGGTAGAGGTCTTGGGCAGCAAAGTCAATGCAGAACATGGGAAGCTTAGTTGGAGTCCTCTTACCTCCACACCACGTCTGCCCCTCCTTTGACAAAGGGTCTTCTTCATTCCATTCTTCCTTGAAGCAAACCGCATTGCAACTCTTCTTGACGGCCGTGGCTTCCTGGTTGCCTTAGTCATGATGGTGCCAAGAAGTGGCCTAACCCAGACTTTCAGCCTCTGACCTCCCTATTTATACCCTTTGAGGACAATGAAGAGCCACACCCTTCAATCTGATTGGTCTGTTAGGCACTGCCCCAGCCAATAGTAGCTTGTGGGGCTTAGACATCACAATGCACCACTGGGACCATCAACATGGGCTAGTGGATGCTGAGGGAGACCGTGATATAACTTTCCCACTGCTGACAGGTCTGTGTGCCTGACTCTGGGGAGTGGTGATTCAGGGGCATGGTGCTTCTCCTCATGACCTTCAAACTTCCTTTGCGTTCCCTTTATCCTTTGACTTATATGTGCCACTTCAACCCTCATGCCTCTTTCATCCCTCTAGGAACATCTGCCAAACCTTTTCTGTCCCACTTCATCCCTTCAGAGTCCTCTAAGCACTTCATCTCTAGATCACCTTCTGCCTCTTGGGGATTCCTGAGCGGCTTAAGGAACTTAAGAGAAAGCACTTAAAGTGGACAAAGGTAATGAAGAGCAGGTTGGATGTTTTATCTCCTGTGGTGAGCTTCAGCGACCCCCAGACTTGGTGAATCCTCAGTCTGTTGCCCAAAGGTCAATATACAGTCTCCATCAGAGTACATATCAGAGCAAAGACAGTTTTAAATGTCTCCTCCACTAAATTTTTTGGGGACACTTCAACTCTCATACTGAGTAGGGAAACTCAACTTGCCCCATCTAGTAGAAAAAAATTCCTGACTTTTGCTTTGCACAAAAGGAAGGTGCTCAAAGTCAAGAATCCGTTCACCACTGCATCGCTGAGTCTTGACCAAATCAATTCCCCAGTCACCCCTCCTTGACCGTTCTCAGTAGGTAGGGCCCATTGCAGTGCTGACCAATAGCTGGGCAGGGCAAGTACCTGTAGGTAGCTCATTGATAGTTGGTTGCTTGTGGGTGGGGCCAGTGAGGCACTGACCAATGGCTGAGCAAGTCCTGTTGCCTAGTAACAGGAGGCGGAGTAATAAGGCACAGCAATGGCTACCTGGGCAGGGCTCTGCCCATGTTGCTCTGTTACATAAGAACACTTTGGGTCCAGTGTGCTGGCATCTTTTTGACTGACTCCTTTCCAACCTCAGATTTTTATTTCCCATGCTTATTTAACTTTTGCCCATCATTCTTTCCGTTCTCTTCCCAGGCATTCCTGTCACCAGCGCTTATCTCTATGCCCCTCCAACAGCTGCCACTTGATCACATGTTCCGCATATAGTATACATAGTTCAAAACCAACAAGAATGTGCAGGCCAGCCCACGTTGAAAACTACTTTGAGAAACCTTAACTTCACAGTGATTCTTTTTCTATTTACAGTGTAACAGAGCAGGATGAGCACAGCCCTGAAGAGGGAGCCTTTGGTGTGCTCCATTTCAACCCACCCTGTTCCTAGGCAACAGGTGTTGCTCAACCATTGCTTGGTGCCTCAGAGGGCCCCATCCACAAGCAAACAATTGTAAATGAGTGACTGTTAGCTGTCCTGCTTAGCTATTGGGCAGCACTGCAGTGGGCAATGCCCGCAGGTTACTGTCAGTGAGGGACCTTTGGGGAAGCAATTAAGTCAAGGGTGGTGTGGTGGCACTCAGGGGGAGACTGAGGCAAGAGGCAGAGTCAGGCCTTCTTCCGGAGGCCCTGGAGCTCATGCCGACTTGGGCCAGTGGGTGAGCTGGAGGGTCCAGGGAATAGCCTGGGGACTACATGCTGTAGCGCTCTTTTGTTCCTCTTTGCTGTCTGCCGTCACGGTGGTGTCGCCTGCATATCTGAGGTGATTGATACTTCTCCCGGCAATCTTCCAGCTTGTGCTTCATCCAGTCTTGCATTTCTCATGATGTACTCTGCATATAAGTTAAATAAGCAGGATGGCAACATACAGCCTTAACATACCCCTTTCCCAATTTGGAACCAGTCTGATATTTCATGTCCGGTTCTAACTCACGCTGCTTTCCCTTCATTCAGAGTTCTCAGGAGGCAGGTAAGAGGGCCTGGTATTCCCATCTCTTGAAGGATTTCCCACAATTTGTTCTGATCCACACAAGACAATGCTTGAGCCTAGTCAGTGAAGCAGATGCTTTTCTGGAATTGTCTTGCTTTTTCTATGATCCAACAGATGCTGTCCATTTGAACTCTTGTTCCTCTGCCTTTTCATAGTCAAGCTTGAACATCTGGAAATTCTTGGTTCATGTATTGTAGAAGCCTAGCGTGAAGAATGCTCAGCGTATTTTAGGTAGTGTGTGAGATGACCCTATCTCCATAGTTATTTCAAATCAAGCTCCTTCTTACATTAGTCTGGATTTGTTTTAGTTAATTGCAAAAATGGACATAAATTCTTTGGAGTTATGCTTATTTCCCCCTTCACAGGTACTAATTCACTCCCTGTGTTATTTCAGGCATCGTTGTGAGTGCAAGGCACACATCATGAGCCAATACCTAGGACCCTGGTTTCATGGGGCTTACATTCTGGTCAGTGAGGATGGAAGGTTCATACTAACCACAAATAGTCAATTATACAGTATAGCGAGAACCTTATTAGTTATGAGAAACGGGGAGTCTTTCCTTCCCAGAGGATAATGATGGAAGGCCTTATGAATGCAGGACATTTAAGCAAAGACTTAGTTAAAGAAAAGAGGGGATGACTTTGTGGCTATCTTGGGTAATAAAGACTGGGGAGAGGAAAAGGCCAGAGCAAAAGCCCCCAAAAGTCATTATCTATGTTCTTCCAAGAAAACAAGGAGACTGGTGCAAGTGGGACCAGGTGAGTGAGGATGAGACTAGAAAGTGATGAGCTGCTCATGAGAGAGAACAGGGCAGGAAAAGGAGGAATGTAATGGTAAACTTATCTTTCCACTTACATGATGAATTGATTCACCGGACACAAACCACACTGGGCTGTGGTGGTAAAAGGGAGAGGCATTTGTCATAGTCTGATGGCAAGGAAGTGGGAGAGGAGTACTTTTCAGTAAAGACACCCGAGATGAATCCTGAGCCAGCTAAAGTAGACAGATCAAGTGGAAAGCTGTGAAAATGTTTCCCAGAAAGTGAGGGAGAACGTACCAAGGTACCGAGACCCAAGAGACCTGGCTATACATGCCTTGCATATGACTGGAATCTAAGGTATGATGGGGAAATTGTGAAGAAACATGGCTTTGAAGGAAGAGGGAAGAACTTGAAGCGACACTTGGGCATATGTTAAGTTAATGTCTGGGTTACCATGCTTTGAAAGAGCATTATTAATGTTTTCTAATTGTAAATATACACTCGAGGCAAACCAGTGTGGAAATTGCAAAACGGAGTACAAAAATGAAATTAGAGGACACCCATAAGTGTGTCAATAGACATATATACTGTTCATATTCTGCCTTTGTTGTTCTACCTAAACCTTTATAACATATATATTATATGTGTTATATACTGTGAAATATATACATATAATACACAAATATTTAGATGAGCCTATGTACATCAGTGTTTTTTTTTTAATTTATACATATTGAATCAATCTTTATGCTATATTGTAACCTTCCTTTTCTATAACATATGCTGGGAGAATGTTTCCACCTCAACAAACATGTAACTACCAGTATTTCTGCAGATTACTATGGTGTTCAAATGCTTGCTTATCCCATACTCCATGCAAGTGCTATGAAGACAGGAACCATGTGCATCTTGCTCACTGGTTGCTTCCATATCTCTTCTATTGTAAGGAAGGATGTAATAAACTTTGGGGTACATGTATCTCTTAAAATTTGTGTTCATTTTCTTTTGATGTAGAGCTAGGTGTGGAATAGCTGGGCCACATGGGAGATCTATTTTAATGTTTTTAAGAAACTTCAACATTGTTTTCCACGGTGAGTGCACAAGTTTACATTCCCACCAGTTATGTACAAGGGTTTCCTTGAGTCCATATCCTTGCCACCATATGTTATTTTCAGATTTTTGGCTTGATGATAGCCATTCTGACAGCTGTGAGGTGATATCTCCCAGTGATTTTCATTTCTCTTTCTCTAATTATTCGTGATGTTCAGCATTTTTCCATGTGCCTATTAACTCATACTGGAAGTACTCTTTCTAGTCTGGTTCTTTAAGTTGAAAAACTTTCAAGTTCTTACAATCATCAATAACATGTTCCATTTTCTTCTTGAATAGTACTCTCTCGGATTTATGCACCATTTGTATATTGGTTTACCATTTGAATCACATTTGAGTTCTTGCCAGTTTGGGGCTATTATTAATAGAGCCACAGTAAACATTGGCATGAAGCGTTTTATGTGAAGAGAAATTCATGTTTTACGCGGGAGTTATTTTCGGAATGGGATTACTCATTTTTCCAGTGTGCAGATATTTATGAGCAATGAAAAACATTTCCCAAAATGTCTTTATCATTTTGCCTTCTGATGAGTCATTGAGGAGAGTTTCAGTTTCTCTCTTTTCCAGAGAGTTGTTTATGTTCTCAGTTATTTTATTTCTTTTATCCAAGATACAGTTTGCATACTTAATATGCATTCAGTACTAATTACTAATTATTTTAGTTAATTTTAGGTGTTTTTGAGTCACCTGTACAACGTATGTCCTATCTTATGTCAAGCAATTGCTATTCAAATATTTTCCCACATTTAATTGGATTATTTGTTCTCTTATTAGTGAGTTTCAGAGCTCTTATTTATTATGGTTATAATATACTTTGTATGAATATTGATGTGTATGTGTGGGTGTTTGTGTGTATGTAAAATATATGTGTATTTGCATAACCAGCTGAAGAGAGAAAACTATTCTGTAACCTTCAAGGAATTCCCTAATACCACAGTGTTATATTCTTTGTCCATAATCCCTTATGACTACTGATTTCTTTTCCATGTCTCTAATTTTGTCATTTTGAGAATAATATGTACCTGGAATCATAAAGTACATGTCGTTTTAAGATTGGCCTCTG